ATGATAAGCACACCTGTGGCTATCAGATTATATGGACTACCAGTTCTTATTACGCTTGAAAAAAATGCTGCCTACAAAAGTACCTGTCTGAACCTTGAAGAACCTAGCAAAATGCACAGCGCATGCTTAATAAACCTTACTGAAGGAGGACACACCACTGACCAGTAGTAAGCATTTACTAAGCCTCTAATACGGTTCAGTTAGCTCTAAGATACATTCTTGACATGAAGAAATGATTATTTCACATATAAATTTTTGGTACGTACACTAAAAGCAACCTTTTCAGTACCACAGAAATCAACATATTCCAATCAGAACCTTTTTGCTAAAAAATCTGTTCTCACTTCCATCTGCAGTCTATTATCTATACGTGGGGCAAGGATTTATCTTTCTTTTCTCTTTCTAAACGTCCCAATACCATTTACTGAAGAGTAGAGCCTGGCTTTCCCCATGAATTTCTGATCCCACCACTGCTGTTCTGTATTTTTATTTCTTAGATCCGTGGGTCTCTTTCTTGGTCCTTCATCTTGGTTTCCTTGGTTTGTCTATTGCTGTCAGTCCAGAATATTTTAATGGCTCCTGGGTAGAACGTCTTTATATCACTTCACTATACTCAAGCATTGATTCTTCTGGAGAAACTTTTCCATTTATTTACCTGATTTCCCTAAAAACTCCAATTTTACCTGCATTATATCATCAGATTAACTTGGGGGAGTCAGAGGGAATCTGCCTTTTTTTTTTTTTTTTACTTTATTTTTTATTTTTTTGAGACAGCTCTGTCACCCAGGCTGGAGTGCAGTGGTGCGATCTCAGCTCACTGCAACCTCCACCTCCCTGGCTCAAGTGATTCTCATGCCTCAACCTCCCAAGTAGCTGGAATTACAGGTACGCCCCACCACGCCCAGCTAATTTTTATATTTTCAGTAGAGACGAGTTTTGCCATATTGGTCAGGCTGGTCTCAAATTTCTGGCCTCAAGTGATCCACCTGCCTCAGCCTCTCAAAATGCTAGGAGTGCAGGCATGAGCCACCACACCCAGCCCCATTAGTATCTTTATAATACTGAAGGTTGTTTTGATTTTTTTTTTTTTTTTGAGACAGGGTCTTGGTCTGATACCCAGGTTGGAGTACAGTTGTGTGAATATGGCTCTGGAACCTCAATCTCCCAAGGTCAAGCGATCCTCCTGCTTCAGCCTCCCGAGTAGCTGGAACTACAGGAACACACCACCATGCCCAGCTAATTTTAAAATTTTTTGTAGAGACGAGGTTTCGCCATGTTACCCAGGCTGGTCTTGAACTCCCGAGTTCAAGCGATCCTCTCACCTAGGCCTCCCAAAGTGCTGGTATTACAGGTGTGAGCCACTGCACTCAGTCACATACTGAGTTTATTATTCAAACAAACAGGCTGATTTTTTTTGCCAGTTACTCTATGTTCTACAGCGAGAATTTATCGTTTTCTGCACAGAGCTTCTGTACATTTCTTTTTATACAAATTACTAGATTTTTTATGGTTTTTCTTGCTTTTGAAAAAGAATCCTGTTTCTCATTTTCTAACTGATTATTGCTGATATAAAGAAAGCTATGTAGTTGTTTTATATTTATCCTGTATCTGTTTTCTAAGGCTAATGTGAGACTGAACAATTTCAGTAGCTTTTCAACCTTTCTGTAAATAGAAACTTGTATTACGGCATAAGTCCCTGTATCTAATCAACATCTGAAATGTATCTTAAACCTAACAATTTACACAGACTTGCACACAAACACACACCCGTTTCTCCATACTCCTGTGCAAGTAAAATTGTCCCATGCAAAAGAGATTTCACTTTGATTCCTCAGCAAGAGTCTGGGCTTTGCTTCTTACACTTTTTAGCGTCAGAGCAATGGGCCAGCTCAGCACAAAGGGTTAGTCACTATCCAATCCACCTTCTTAGCCATCTAACATTCTGAAGATCTATGATATTCACTCTAATCAGGATCTTTTCTGCTCATATATTGTAACACATTCAAGGGTTCCCTGTGCCCAAATACTTTAGCAAGAGGAGTCTGTATCTAGGTGGCTCTTTTCTCTCCTGTGCCCATTTAAAAGAAAAAAAAAATAGAGAGCCTTCAAGTTAATTCTGCCACAATGGTCTCCTTCAGGTAATTCGACTGTGTCTAATCTTTATCAGACCACTGACAATGGTCAAAACTTTTCTCCTAACAGATAAAAAATATTCTTTAAACTGGGAGTTTTATAAACAGGTTTTCTATCTTAAAAATGCCAGATTGTTTTTCTTCTATATATTTAAATATTTAAAACTACACTTAAGTATTTAAATGCATTTTTTTAAAATTTATTTTTGTTTTTTTGAGACAGGGTCTCACTCTGTCACCCGGGCTGGAAGGCAGTGGTGCGATTTCAGCTCACTGCAACCACTGCGCCCAGGGCTCAAGCGTCTCTCCCACCTCAGCCTCCTGAGTAGCTTGGGCTACAGGTGTGCACCACCATGCACATCTAATTTTTTGTATCTTCAGTAGAGACAGGGTTTCACCATGCTGCCCAAGCTGGTCTCAAACTCCTGAGCTCGGGCAGTCCACCTGCTTTGGCCTCCAAAGTGCTGGGATTACAGGTGTGAGCCACCACACTCAGCCTTAAATGGCATTTTAAATAGTAGCAAAATACTTCTAAAGTCACATCATATACAGCTGTTTTTTAAACATGCACTATGTTCTTAAAGTCAACTGTCCTCTGACCTGAGGCCACATGACTCATGCTAGCTGATAGGAGGCACACAGAAGTGTTGCCCAGGTACACCCTCACTTTGCTCACACTTACCACCCCGCCCTCAACTTAACCTAGAGGATTCCAGAGCCTGAAGGAGGTAGAACCATAAGAAGGAACGAGTCTGGTTCCCTAAATGACTGTGTGGAGCAGAGACTCCCTCCTCAATGAAATGTAATGTGAATGAGAAATAAACTCTTATTACGTTGAGCCACTGAAATAATGTTATTGTTTTAAATGTACTTAGCCTATCCCTAGATAATATAGAAATGTCAGGTAAAGGCCTTGAGACTGACAAGAATTTGGAATAGCTAATAAGGGAAATAAAAAGGGGAATGACTAAGATCAAACTGATGGAGGGGCTGTGAGGGCCCACCAAAGTCTGGGCCACACAAATCTATACTCACACCAATCCACACGATTGTATAATACATTCAACTTGGCTATGTTAAATTATTCTTAAAATCGACCAGTTAAAAGAGCAGCAAAATATTTTTTAATGAACTATTACACAGAATCCCAAAATACAAACTAGAGAAACACAGAGCAGACGTGGCTGAAGCAAGACTGGAAGACCTAGAACCTCACCTGCTGAGCTCCTCTGACACCTGCAGAATCTGCCTACAAAGTCCCAGGACCCCAGAGGCCAATGTGAAAATTCATGATTTTACAATATTGTTAACTTCAAGCTGCTAATGCTAACATTTCTGTTATCAACATTAATAAATTAAACTAATTAAAAGTATGCTTTTTGTTTCAATTTTCTACTATTAATAAATGCTTATTTCTCACTGATTGAACTCAAGTATTCAAAGCTCTTAATTTCTCTTTCAGGTGGCACAGCTTTGCCCCCATGGCTCTCGTCTCTTCATTTGTGTTGTTTGTTACTTTCCCCCATTCTTCTGACTGTATTTTCAACTTTCTTCTGTACTTAAGTATTATTCCTGACTCAATACACATTTAATTCCACCATGTGCTAAGCATAGGATGCGTGATGAACAAGACCAATATGGTTGCAAATTCTCAGGAGAATTAAATTTTCTAAGCAATTGCAATTATTTTAAACTTACACAATGATTTCCTAATTTCATTACACTATGATGACAACGTGACCTGGGCTACTTCCTCAAGATCACGAAGGTTTTCACAGTGGTCTAGCGTCTACTGATTCTTCTCATGAGGTCATGTTCTCCAGGAACACCTACTATCCATAAATGGGATGGCCAACATCTGTTCTCCTTTTCTGCTCTTCCAGGTGTATTTCCCAATTCCTCTCAATAGCTTTGATTAACTAGATTTTTGGCGCATTTAAATTATTTTGTTTTGATCTGGGTTTTGTTTTGATGTAATTTCCTTTCAGCCAAACCAATTTTAAAATCTGTGTTGTAAAATATACTTTAATCTCATTATGAAGAAAAAGATATTTCCTCTTTCTCTTCTAAAATTCTCTTGTTTCATAAAAGTGATTTTTCTCTGAGCTGATACAACTTTGGTCCATTTCTATTGCTGAATAATTTTTTTTTCAGAGGTATCATGACTTTTCCAAAACACTTATTCTTAAATTGGATTTACTGCTCATTACTTATGCAGTCCAGATGACTCCAGCCTAGCCCAAAGCAGGCCTACCGTATCTTATTCACTGGAGAAAGCAGTCAAGCCTGACATAAAAAAAAAATAAAAGTGTATCTTCAACTTCCCCATCTGGTACCAAGGTGTTAGCAGATGTCACTTTACAAAGATGGAAAGCAAGTTACTTCATAAGAGCTTTTCTTGTATTTATTTCATAACAGACATTCAGTTTTGTTACAGGACAGAGACTCATCTAGCACCCAGTAAGAAAATAAATCCCCTTTGAAGGAACAAAAGCCAGAAGTTATTTCCACTACTCAACTGAATACTGCTGTTAAATGGAGAACATTACAAAGAGGTGAAACGCATAGAAGAAAAATGCATCCTTGAGCGTGTTCTCTAGGAAACTCTGACTGACCTAGCTCAAGGACCTATGAACCAAAGAAGTCCCATTAGGTATGGAGAAGCAGAACAAGGCTCTCACTGACTTCTGTAGTACTATAAAAGACTACTTAGAAGAGGGAAATTCTAAATTTATGAAGAAATTTTCAACTGAAATGTTTAATAATAGCTTTTCACTTGAACTACTAAATGCAAATATAATATTTTGTCCTTTAACCACCTTGCTAGAATGGATAAAACAGGCTACTAAATCAAAGTTTTCATCTTACCCTGAAAAATCAGCAGAATATTGTCCATAGTCAAAGATATAGACTCGAGTAACTTGGCACACTGTGAGGTATCCCAGAGCAAACACAAAGCAGTATCTGAAAAACAAAAATAAGCTACATTAATGAAAATAAAAGACTCATTTTGTTAAAGAGCACATTTTAAAGTACTTTATTAATTAAATGATATGGTTCAGAAATTAAATATTACTAGATTTACTCTAGAAACAGCTTTCTTTAATGAATTATGAAAACTCTTTTCTAGTATAATATGCTTCAGTTTACTTGACTATCACCTTCAATAGTAAATTCATTTATTCATTTTCTTCTGAGAGACATACACACACCAATTTATATATTTGAAAGTCATGATCACAAGCTATAAATATGTGATTAGTATGTGTTCCATTTATTCCTCCTTTCTAGAACATAAAAGCACAAAAATATCTGGCTAAGGTATACATTAAACAAATTCTTCATAGAATTTTGAAAAAATCCTTGTTCTCAATAGTCTAAAAGCATACCTGCTTAGTATGAGTCGGGCGGCATTTACTCACATTTCATAGCCATGAACACTTAGTGATTTCTAAAAACTTAAGATGCTGGGAATATAGTTACAATTAAAAACATAGAATGGGAAAAAGAACTTATATATCAACAGAAGAGAACAGAAACCCAGAAACAGACTCCAGAATTTTTAACATTGAATAAGATGAAGGCTGCAGTGCAAATTATCAGGGAATAGACAGCTTGTCATCTAACTGGTTCACAAACTGGGTGGGGAAAAGAAAGCTCTGTCTTCATCTCACACCAAAACAAGTCTATGTGGATTAACTAATTACATGTAAAATACACAACTATAACAAATAGGAACTGTGACTAAACAGTCAAATGTTCCCAAATTGGGGAAGGGCTTTCTAAATATGTATCATATAGAAGAAATCAAGGGGGGAGAAAACTTTGATAAAAAATTACATTTCGCCAAATAAAAATCTTTGTCATGTAGGCAGTTCAGGTGGTTTTATGGAAGTTCTTTAAACTTTTGAGAAACAATTACAATATTTTAGATTATTCCCGAGCAAAGAACAGGGAAGGAAAGCTTCCTAATTCAAATATGTTAGTTTAACAAAACTAACATATTCATGATTGCTATATCTGACAAAAATAGAACATATGGATACACATTCACAAAGTGTTGAGAAATCAAACTGAACGTCTAAAAATCATGTGGCAGACTGTACTTTCCAAAGATGCTCAAAACAGTATATCCTATTTCATACGCTCTTCTGCAGCCTGTCCTGCTTCCTGTCAAGAGGAGGAGCCTCTCTCTCTGCCCACTTCGAGTGTGGGCTGGCCTTCCAACTGCACAGAACAGTGGACTGCAACATTGGGCTCTGCCTCTGATGAGGGCCTCAGGCTGCTTCCACTAATGGCAGAAGGTAAAGGGGAGCCAGTGTGGGCAAAGACCATGTGACTGGAAAGGAGGAAAGAGCCAGGAGGCGCCAGGCCCTTTTTTTTTTTTTTTTAAATTTATTTTATTGCATTTTAGCAAGCCACTGCTCAACGAAATAAGAGAGGGCACAAACAGATGGAGAAACATTCCATGTTCATGGTTAGGAAGAATCAATATCGTGAAAATGGCCATACTACCCAAAGTAATTTACAGATTCAACGCTATCCCCATCAAGCTACCAATGACTTTCACAGAACTGGAAAAAAACACCTTAAACTTCATATGGAACCAAAAGAGAGCCCGCATAGCCAAGTCAATTCTAAGCAAAAAGAACAAAGCAGGAGACATCACACTACCAGACTTCAAACTATACTACAAGGCTACAGTAATCAAAACAGCATGGTACTGGTACCAAAACAGAGATATAGACCAATGGAACAGAACAGAGGCCTCAGAGGCAACACAACATATCTACAACCATCTGATCTTTGACAAACCAGACAAAATCAAGCAATGGGGAAAGGATTCCTTTTAATAAATGGTGTTGGGAAAACTGGCTAGCCATGTGCAGAAAGCAGAAACTGGACCCCTTCCTGACACCTTACACTAAAATTAACTCCAGGCCCTTTTTAACAACTAGCTCTCAAGGAGTGAGAACACACTCATCTCCTCATCCCTCAGGGAAGGCATTCATCTATTCATGAGGAATCTGCCCCATGACCCAAACACCTCCCACCTCCCATTATGCCCCACCTCCAGCATTAGACATTAGATTTCTACATGAAGTTTAGAGGAGACAAACATCCAAACCCTAGCAAAAATTTTCTTTCAGCTCTTGATATAAAGAGTCAGACCTGTACAACAGGGAGGGATGTTACTGATGGCAGCAATCTTGAAAGACAGTCAGCCCTCTGGCCCCAACAGTTCACATGAATCCTACACGAAAGTATACTCCCTGTCCTCCCAGGATCCCCAAGAGTGGGAAGGGGGTGGGGGATAAAAGACCACAAATATGGTGCAGTGTATACTGCTTGGGTGATGGGTGCACCATGACACAGTGTATCATGACTGTAGCCAGTATGAAATAAACAGCAAAATCAAAACAAAACAAAAAAACCCACCCATCTCATTAACATAAGCAAAAATATTAACTGACATTGATGTTGGAACTACATTCATTTGCCAATGATGTGAGCAACTACTTTACTAAATTGGAGAGTAATAGAGCATTTATTTATAGTCATTTTGGTCAAATTACAGTTGAATTGCAGCCACAAGTTAACTGTGAGAGTTCAGAAAAAAATAAAAGAAAATCAATGAAAGTGTTTTGCGAGAATCAACAAGCTATACAGAATTGACAATAGAGGATATTCTATTTTCATTATTATTTGTAAATTCTGCACTAAAAGTCTGTTAAATTTGTAAAATTTAGAATAAACTCATATACATATATTTATGCATACTTTTTTTTCCTAGAAAGCCAGTTAGTTGTTACTTACCATTACACCCCTACTAGCTACATGTGGTTACTGAACTCTTGCAATGTGGCCAGTGTAAACTGAGATAAGCTGCAATTGTAAAATACACCCCAGATTTTGAAGACTAAGTATAAAAAAAATAGTTTTCATTCATTACACTTTCATATGATACTATTTTGGCAATATTGGGTAAAATGAAATGTTACTACTAAAATATATTAATGTGCTTTTTTTCAGTTTTTAAACTGTACCTACTGCAAATTTTTTTTTTTCCCTGAGATGGAGTCTAGCTCTGGCGCCCAGGCTGGAGTGCAGTGGAGCAACCTTGGCTTACTGCAATCTCAGCCTCCCAGGTTCAAGTGATTCTCCTACATCAGCCTCCCAAGTAGCTGGGACTACAGGCACATGCCACCACACCCAGCTAATTTTTCTAATTTTAATAGAGATAGGGTTTCACCATATTGGCCAGGCTGGTCTTGAACTCTTGACCTCAAGTGATTCATCTGCTTCAACCTCTCAAAGTGCTGGAATTACAAGCATGAGCCACCATGCCCAGATGGAAAGTTTTAAATTACATCTGTGGCTTGCATTGTATCTCAATCACACAGTGCCAGATAGTTTTCCTGAAAAAAAGCAAACAGAGCTGGTGGGGCTTTTCACACTTTGCCATTCTCTCTACCTAGAATATGGATCTGATGGGTGTGGTAGCCACCATCATGGCTACCCATGAGGTAGCCAGCTAAGAGGCAGAACTAGAGAAGAAAACTGCTTCTTTAATGACATTGTTGAGCTGCTACATTGGCTCTGGACAATCTAACTTGAGAAAGAATTCTAGGCGGTGGTGTTTTTTTTTTTTACCCTCTGTACTCCTAACTCATCCAAAAGCATATCAAACTTTTGTTGCTAATTTGTCTTTTGAATTAGACTACAGGAAAGGGTATGGGGAAAGCCTTTGATTTTTCAAGTTCATATATCAACAAAGAAAGCAGACATATAGGCCACTACATGAACAAATTATTTTAAGTGACACAGTCCATTTATGAATTTCACTGAACGTCTTCAAACAAAAGAATATACATGCAAATAAACAGGGCCTGAGCTGAATTTAAATAACAGCCCCAATCACTTTTTATTATTCCTACCTGTGTGACCTTAGAAAGTGACTATTCTTCTGCATCCTAGTTTTCTCATTTCTAAAAGGTGGGTGTACTATTCCAGGGATCCTGTCTATTCTAACCCTATCACTGTCATCTCACCCTCCTTGCAACTGACTGGTTTATGGGAAGCATAAAACTTAGGTCCAGGTGATAAAGCATGACATAGAGCTTTTGGAAAGGCCTTTCTCTTAGTGTGACACTTGCTTTTGGCACGTATATATGCACAGTGGCTCTCTTTAGCATACGCGGAGCTAGCCTGAGGACAAAGTCAATATGCTGAGATGGCAAAATAAAAAACAGAACTTGGTGTTTTGATGCCCCCATTGACACTGAGCTGTTGAATTAGTGAAAACAAGGTGCCTGGTCTCATAACTTCTAGCTTCAAGAGGTAACCTTTCTCTGCTGTTTACGCCATTCACATACTACTATAAATTGTGATTTCTGCACTTCACAGTCAAAAGCATCTGTATGTGATTATTACTAATATCAAAATAAAATCAACAGCTTCTGAAGAGTTCCAGAACAGAACATTTACTTATTAAGTACTGTTGAATTGGTGCCTCATTTCAAAAGCTGAAACCACATCTAAAATATCTGTTCACTTAGGTATTAGATACAGAGTGGAAATTGTTCAGAGAAATTGCTAATTCCCAGGTAGCAGCAACTATGGGAATTAATGAACTAGCAATGCTGCAGAGAACTAAAAACAAATTCTTCTCAAAAAAGGAAAATGTGATGTCACCAAGAGGTTCAAAATCTTGATGGGAATAAAAACAAAAACTAACAAATGAGGTTTTATTTTAACATGATGAAATGAAATTACACTGTTTACTCTCCAAGGTTCTCAGGCTTAGATGGCTTTGGTTGTAGCCCAACTGCACAAAAGGCTTGCACATCTGAATACTAGCTTTTTTCTCTCTATTCTGCCTTCCCCTCTGTATTTTCTAAGACTATTTACTATGTATATTTTGTTTTATAGTGTTTTTTGAAAGAGAAGAAAAAAGTTAAAAA